CACCTCACCAGTCCTGCCACCCTGTTTCCCTAGTATCCAGGACTCCACGCATGCACTGTGTCTGCGTTCTGGTCCAGATGGCTGGGGCTGGGTGTTCAGCAGTCCTGGGCTCCTTCTCCCTCCCGCTCAGACCTCTCTTCTAGTGCCAGGAGCTGGGGGGAGTGGTGCTCGGGTCCTGCCAGCTTGGGGCTTGTATCTTACTCCCTTCGCGAGGCGCTGGGTTCCCGCAGGTGTGGATGTGGTCTGGATGTTGTTCTGTGTCCTCTGGTCTCTATTTTAGGAAGAGTTGTCTTTGCTATATTTTCATAGATATATATGGTTTTGGGAGGAGATTGCTGCTGCTCTACTCATGCCACCATCTTGGCTCCGCCTCTATTCATTGTTTTATTTATTCATTCAATCTTACAACAAACATTTAATGAGTACCTTCTATGTGCCACGTTCTATCTTCAGATATAGCAGTGAACAAAATCCCATGTTCTTGAACTTACAGAGGGCCTATTGGTAGATGTTAGATGGTCCAGTAATGCTGCGTTCAATGGGCAAAGTTGGATTTTTGTTGTTTCCCTGGGGAGGGCAGGACCCATAGTCTTAATCAGACCTTGGAAGTGGACTGTGACTGAAAATGTCAGAAACTACCTGTTTATAGCATTAATCTTTAATATTTATTTTCCATAATAATAATAGTCCACCCTTTTCAGAATTGTTTCCCATATTGCTATGTTACAATCCAAAGTGGAAAAAAGAGAATCTCTGAATGGGAAGGTAAAGCCTCCAAGAAGTAGGAGGGGCTGTAGGGAATGGGAGTGACACAGAGAGGTGTGGTACAAATATTCACAGGGGTAGGGCAGAGAATCTGTGTGAGGCAGTACAGGTTTTCAATAGTATTGGGGGACCCAAAAGTTGTTGCCCATTTGAAAAAAAATGGGAATTCTACCCTGAGTCACTGGAAAAATACTAAATTATGTCAACCACATGGGGTTTTCTACAGTTACAAAGTGAATTATGCATTTTAGAGAGATTTCCAATAAAGTTACTTAACCTGGCGTAACATTTTAAAACTTACATTTCTGTTAATTGGAAAATCTGTTAGTTCAAATGCTTCTGTATTCTCTAAAAGTGAGCTGAATGACTTAAACATTAATATAATACAGAATTACAGGTGTAGAATTTACTTTATGGTATATAAAATTAGAGAGTTGTTGATTTAATAATAAATCCATTCTTTTCCTTGAGACAAATAACATTCTCTGTAAAGTGCTGTATTAACTTTGTATCCTAATTCATTTTCTAAAAATCCCATCCAAAAAGGCTTTTAATCTAATCGGTTATACAAATTTGTTTCATGCAACATTAGGTATATTACTTTTATATTGCAATGGATTTTTATTTTTAACATGAAATCAAGTTAAATTAATATTCTATTCCTACATTTATATGACCCTGTTAGTGAATAATTTTCAGAGCTAGTTGACATTCTAAATGAAGCACATTTCCTTTTAGGGTAGAGTTGTCAGAGTGGTATATTAGGAGAAAACTGCAGATATGGTCCACCGTAATTTGAATAAGGCCTTTGACCAGAGCTACTATGGTACTCTTGATTGAGATGGTGCTTTAAGTTGGTGTCACTGAAGAATTATCTTCAAAGGGTATTTCTTAATGGCTTGGTATCAGCCTGGAAGGGATTTTGTTTTTAATGTTAGGATCGCTTCTTAAGAATAGTTTCTTAATGTAGAAAGATACATAGAAGAAATGGATTACACAAAGGTGAACGCACATCCTGATCCATGCATATCTTTAAAATAAAAAAATAGAAAAAAGTATAGGTAAGATGAGATAAATAAAGCAGTGCAAAGTGAGTCTTTTCCTGACTTCCAACAGCCTGGTCCCTCCCTCCATAGATGACCTTTGTTAGCTGCCTTGTACATCCTTTCAGAACAGTTTTTCTTCATAGACCAGAGTATAGCTACATCATTGAAACTACATATGCAACAATATATGCACTCTTTTACTTTCTTTCTATATGTACTCTTTTGTGTTTATTTTCAGTCAATAGCATCTTCAAGGTCTTCCCCTACATATATCTACTGCTTTCTTTTTTTGAACAGTGGAATAGTGTTTCACTGAATAGATACATATACTTTAATTTACATAATCAGTTCTCTATTGATGGATGTTTAGATTGTTTCCAGTTTGTTTTTTTGTTTTTCTTCAAACAATGGTGCAGTGAATTTCCTTTCACATAATCTGGCACATTTGTCAGGCCAACTGGCAGTGGAATTGCTAGGCCAAAGAATCTGCACATTTCAAATTGAGATGGATTGGGTCAAATGACTCTGCAAAAGGCAGCATCAATTTACATGCCCAATCAACAATGTATGCAAATTCTTACTTATACTTTGGTAGCTCTACGGTTAAAAAAAGTCATTTTGTTTTGCATTTCTGTAGGAATTTGAATGGGTATTTTTAATAAGTGTTGTTTTGATCTTTATGCTTGGTTCTGTATAACATTAAAGTCCAAAATTGGGAGAATAGTTAATACAATAAATAAAGTTACAAAACACAAAAAGATCTAGATCCGCAAAAGTGGTTAATGCAAATAAGATGAAGTTTGATATCCATGCACCATTTTGATAGCAAACTTGAAAAAAATAGGTACCATATTTAGGGCTAGTTTTTAATATAGACAAACTCCTGCATCTTCCTACTTAATTTTCTGTACTCAGTACAGTATTTTCACCTTGCAAGCCCCCATCTGGTTGGGCAGCCCATCTCCATCTTGTACTTGTGCCATCTGGCCCTTGAATCTTCGAAAGTCACCACTGCAAAAGAGGCAGCCTGGAAGAGCCTCGCTGTCTCTTTATTACTTTGCCCTTCTCCCTTTTCTCTGGCCAGATGATATGTGTTGGGGGCCAGGAAGTGTCAAGGAGCACCTGGATATTTGGGGAGCATTAGTGGTCTCTGTCACTGTACCAATAGTAAACTCTTGTGTCAAGCTTCAAAAAGAATGGGGCATCTTTGTCCAAAAGTTCATTTGAGAAGTAAACTTCATGTGCCAGCAGTGTGCCTGTCTCCTAGACAAGTCAGTGCAGTATTGCTGTGTTCCCAAAAGTGGCATGAAAACATCTTGGGAGACAACTCTTTATTTGGCTTGATTCTGGGTGCTACATTGTAAAAGGGAGACTGATACTAACCAGGTACAGAGAATTGTAATAAGAACATGAAAGGATCTGTAAATTTTGTCCAGAAGACTAAGCTCCCCTTAAAAAAGTTATGGTGTCCTGGAAAAGTTTTCCAAAATTGAAAAAGAGGGTAATGAGTTGTAATTATGAAATAGCCTTATTCTGTGTTGTTACCAAGGAGAAAACTAGAACCAGCTAATGGACTTTTAGGAAGATTTCTCTTACAATGGCAAATGTTTATTCTACAGTTTGAAGTCTTCAAGTCTAAGCCAGATGACATCTGAGAAGAAAATTTTTAAAAAGTCCCTGCTCACCATGAGAGATTAGTCTGGGCAATATAGAGCTTCTTTTCAAATCTGGATTTTTTGTGATGAATGTCAAATGAATATTCCTTTTTCTTTTTAAATAGGACACTGATGAAATTCAAGTTAACTATCCTGGAATGTTGGAATTGATGGAAGATTTACAAGGTAAGGAAGAATTTTTAGACTCCATATGAGAGTTACATTTTGAGAGCTGACTTTATGGCAAGCACGGGGGATACATTGGTGAGGAGAAAGTGGACTGTCTTCATGGAACTTACAAAATGGGCAAGGCAAGCATCAGACAACTGCCACAAAGATACATGGAAAACTAGAACTGCGGCAAGTCAGTGAAGTAGAGGTACATAGTGCTTTGACTGCCTATAAAAGGAAGGCAGGACTTTCCCTGAAGGGTGCATTTGCAAATGGCAGAACACATCAGTGACTTTCTCCAGTAAGAGTTGGCAGCTCAGGGCCAGACACAAGGAAGCAGGCAATTAGGTTAGTGTGGAATCAGGGTGTATGTTCTGGTCTGAGCATCAGTGAAGTTTTGTCAGAAGAAGTGGTGATTGTGTTCTAAAAAATGAACATGAATTAACTAGGTGAAGAAGGGAGGGCAGTGTGAGTCCCTGGCAAGAACATGTGTAAAGGCTTCTTTGCAAGAAAGCATGACAAGGACTGAAAGAAGGGCATTTTGACTCAAATACACGGGGTAAAAAGAAGAGAAGTGATGTAATTGGTGGGCTAATTGGGGGCCTTATAGTCCTGTTAAGGTTGTCTGTCTTAAAACACCCCTTGAGGCATTTTAATGGGGGGACAGAAGGAAAAGTCATGATAATAGATTTGTATTTTGAAAAGAAAAAGTATTGGAGGCTAAACTGGTAGGAAAACTTATTGGTGTAAAGCTTATTGAGAAATGATGGTGGTTTGAACCAAGGTGGTCGCAGTGGAGACAAAAAGAAGTAAATGGATTCTAGAGATACTTAGGAGATAAATTTGATAGCTCTTCCAGATGGGTTACATGTGGTTGAATGAAGAGAGACATTTCAAACATAATTGCTGAGTTTCTAGCTCACATAAATCAGATGGATGGCACTCCTCCTTGAAAGAGCAAACAGTAGAAGACCAGGAGTGGACAGGGAGAGCCCTTGAATTCACATTTGGGTATGTTGGTTTTGAAGTGCTTTTGAAATATCTAAGAGGAGATGTCAAGTAGGTGGTTAGGTGTGTGGGTAAGTTGCTTGGAGGAGGCAGATTGGCCTGGTTAAAAAACTGAGTCACTTGTGAATAGGTGGTATTTGAAGCAGTTGCATGGAGTGAGAGCATGGAGTGAGAAGAGAAAGTGGCCTGGTTTTGAGCTTTTAGAAACCTAACATACGGTGGCCATGTAGAAGGGCGAGCCTGAAGAGAGACTGGAAAAGAATAGCCAGTCAGGTGTTAAGGAGAAACACCAGAGAAGTATAGTGTTGCCTACACCAAGGGAAAGAGTTCCAAACAGAGGGAACAAGGGCCCAGGACATGTTACAGACAGAGGTGGAGTGATGGAGATGACCACTACAGTGAGAAGACCAAAAAACTTGGAGGCCAAGGTACTTGAAAATTATTGGCTTGATGTCACCCAGGGTGGTGGCAGGACTTGGGGTACAGAGGGAAACTGAACCAGGTGCCAAACCTTCAGTGGCAGAGGAGGGACTGGGAGCCCCATGTCTGATAGCAAGCAGGAGTGGGAGGGGGTTGTGACCAAGTGGGGTAGGTCTCTGCAGGCAAGGGCTTTTAATAAGTCAGAGAGTAATGGCCTGGAGGAGGCTTTGAAGAGCAAGAAGGACACAAGCCCTACCTCCCAAGCCTCAGAGAGGTGCAAAATTACACATCTAAATGAAGGGCTGCTGGAGACATGGTTTTCTGAGAGCCTTGATTCACCTCAGTGAGAATTTGTGATGTCTGATTCTTCATTACACAAATGCCACAGGTAGTTCTGGTGAATGGGGGTAGCTGAAGGGATTATAGGTGTGTTCTGTGAAACCAGAACAACAGTTCCCTAGGGAACCCTTGGTCTGGATCCTGAAAAATTTCAAGATGATTTAAAGCAAGAGAAATTGAAAAATGAATACCTTGTGTTTGTTACAGATTTATAGTCTTTCATGAGCATTGTTGTACTTCTCTCAGTAGCTCTCTGGTAACTACTTTATCCCCATATTACAAGTGAGAAATATCAGGTCCAGGGAGAATACATGCCTGTTAATGGCAGAATTAGGTGCCAGTCTCTTGCCTTCTTGAATCCTGGCACTCTCTTAATTCCCTCTGCTGCTGCTTGTAGCAACCCATTTGTAATAGTCCATTTGAGCCATTGCCCAGCCTCCTCTAAGTATGGTGTTTCTGTCAGCTTTACTGGGGGAGAGATGTGTAGCTAAAAACTTCCTATTGCAGTCACTGTCCATTCACAGTAAGTTAATACAGGGATTGGCCGCCTATGGCGCGCACGCCCAAGGTGACGGACTGATAGTAAGTCACACAGTGCCTCCCAGCACTGCCCCGCACCCTTGGCTCCCCGAGGCAGTCACAGAGCCCCTTCATCCAGAGGTTGGAGAGGGGATGGTGGGCTGATGATGTATCATTCAGACTCCAGTGATAAAAATATTTTTCAAATATAGCATTTACTTTTGTTCTGCTACATAATAATGGCTGTGCTTATTCATTTTAAGAAAGAAGAAAGAAACTAGAAATTAGACTTACCAGTTGAAAAAGGTTACTGCCCACTGATTTAAAAATACAGAACTTACTCTGTACTAGGTGAAGTTTTCTAATATCCTAATTTTACAGATGAACTAATTGAGACATCAAGATGTTCAGTGTCTTGTCCATGTTACACTAAATCTGGAATTGGGATTTGAATGCAAAGTTCTATACTGCATACTTGACCTGTGTGCAGTTTTTGATTGGCATTAGTGTAGATGTTCAGTAAAATGCACTAATCTTAACTGTACCACTGCTTGTATTTGTAGCGACTGTCCAGAGAAAGGATTAGAACATTTCCATCTCCCTCAGAAGGTTGCCTCATGTCCCTTTTTAGTTTATAACTCCCTCTTCCCCTAATGGTTTTAAAAAGGTCATATATTATGAGAAACTACTACCTAGTATTTACCTTTAACAGGCTTTGCATGTACTTCTCTTATGTTTACTGTAAAGCCTTGTAGACAAACAATATGTTTCAGTCTTTGATGTCTCTTCTCCTTAGGAGGATTAAGAGAAATTCTCTAAAGGTAGCTTGTAAAAGTGACATTTGACAAAGCAGATATAAACATTAACTGGTTGAGTTTATATTTATTCTCTTATATTTATTGAGCATCTGCCTTTTGCCACCAGTGAGCCCATCATGAAAATACATAGTTCCTGACCTCAGGGAGCTTGTGCTATAGTGGAGAAAGAGACACAGAGATAGACAGATAGACAGACATAGGCATTTACCTGTGAAATGAGATTATTGTTTTTCAAGATACAGGGAGAAGTACTAGAGAAGAATTTCTAAATCTACTTAGGGAGTCCAGGGTGCTTTTGCAGAGGAGGCAGCCCCTGAGCTCAGTGTGTTTTCTGGGACCACGAGGGGTATGTGCAGGTTTGGGGGCTGGAGCACTGATTCCAGGCTGAGGAAATGGCCTGTGTGAAATTGCGGAGATACAGAAGGATACACACTTCCTTCACTTCCCTGATTAAGGAACTGTACAGTAATTCAGTGTTGCCTGAATATGTAGAATGGGAAGATGGTGAGAAATAATGCAGGATAGTCCTTCAGAATCTCGTAGATTTTATCAGATGAGGCTTGGGTGTGTTGCCAGAGACAACAGAAGAGGAACAATCAAATTAGTGTTAGAAAAATAACCCTCCAGCATTGTTCATGAGGCATATTTTAAGAGGAAGGTCAGACTAGAGCTAACATGGTTAATCTCTCTTGTTATGCATGAGGAAAGCGAGGATAGAAGTAACTTGCTCAAGGCGATGTATTTAGTAAGTGGTAGAGCCAGGATTTAAGGCCTTGGTAGCAACCTGATTCAGATCCTGAAATCTCAGCCACTCCACAGTGAAAAGGTCAGAGTTGCTGAGGTGGGCAGACTGGCAGTGAGAGGGGAAAGTTGGGGGGTGGAGAGGGAGCCTGGGAGACTTCCAGGTCTGCTGCTTTGCTGAAGGTGGTGTTACCTTCAAATTGGCTTTCGGTATTTTACATTGTATGACACTTTGCTTGATGGTTGTGGTGTTTCTCATTTAAGCTGCCATTATTATTAATTCACAGAAAAATCCAGAATGTTGATCTAATTTTACAAAACAAATTGCATATCAGCCGATGAATGCATGAAAAGTTTTGAAGGCTTTCACAGTAGTTTTAAGGTAAGTTCAGTTTTTCTTTAGACAATACTCAGTATTATTCCTAATAAACTATAATAAATTAGATTTCTTTATAAGCCGTTGGACTTAACCTTAAAAACACTGTGAGAGTCTTAAACAGTTACCTGCTTCCTGGGTTTTTCTGTTATTCCAATCCCAGAGCTGGTCACAATTCTCCAAATGTCTTTCCCCAGTGGTCTTCAGCAAAGGTCCACCGTAATGTGTTAGGAGGTATTAGCATTCCATTTTGAAGGTGATAAAACTGAGTTTGATAGAGGCAAAATGCCTTTGCCCCAGGTTACATAAGAGTCAGAACTGGGATTATGATCCCAAATCCAAACTCCTGTCACTCCATCACACTGCTTCTGTGAGAAGGGAAATTCAGTATGGCTGTGTGCTTCTCTGTGAGGGAAAGGTGGGCTGCCCTGGCAGCAGAGTTCCTGCCTATGTTACACAGGAGTGCACCTGGATTTCGGTGTCAGAAAGAGCGTTACACCTAATAATTTGAAGCATTATATCCTAATACTAGTTATTCAGAAGACATCTTAGAATTTCTAATGCATCAAGTATTTATATTGAAAAATTAAACCATTTTCCACTGGTGTTGCCTGTATCTAATGTGCAGATAAGTCACGACAGTGGGAAGTTGGGCAGAAATGAAAACACCACAGCTGTTGTCAGCAGTATCTCTTCCAGTAGGATCCTGGTTTACCCTTGGTCTCTTGATATGGTTGATACTCACAATGTATGAGAGTGGTTTTAGATTAGGTTATGTAGAGAGTCAATAATGCTGGCACTGGAAGCCTTTAGGGATCATCTTGTGTGGCCACCTTGAATACCCAGAGCAATTGGTTTAAGGTCGTCTAGCTGTTTCGTGACAGCAATAATAATCTTGAAAATGACTGATCTACTACTTTGCATGTCTATTGTTCTTCACTATTTGGGTCTGTTACACTCACAGGATGTGGAACATGACTTTTAGTATCAGACAGTCATTATTTCAGGGAATAATAGGAACATTTTGGTATTGGAGAGAAGAGAGATTTACTTATTACAGCTCGTTTATTAATTGTTTTTAATAAGGCCACTGAAAACTTGGGAGATTATTATTTTTAAACTACTAAAGAACACCGATATTGGGAAGTTTATTGGTTTCCCCAGTGGTCTTCAGCAAAGGTCCACCGTAATGTGTTAGGAGGTATTAGCATTCCATTTTGAAGGTGATAAAACTGAGTTTGATAGAGGCAAAATGCCTTTGCCCCAGGTTACATAAGAGTCAGAACTGGGATTATGATCCCAAATCCAAACTCCTGTCACTCCATCACACTGCTTCTGTGAGAAGGGAAATTCAGTATGGCTGTGTGCTTCTCTGTGAGGGAAAGGTGGGCTGCCCTGGCAGCAGAGTTCCTGCCTATGTTACACAGGAGTGCACCTGGATTTCGGTGTCAGAAAGAGCGTTACACCTAATAATTTGAAGCATTATATCCTAATACTAGTTATTCAGAAGACATCTTAGAATTTCTAATGCATCAAGTATTTATATTGAAAAATTAAACCATTTTCCACTGGTGTTGCCTGTATCTAATGTGCAGATAAGTCACGACAGTGGGAAGTTGGGCAGAAATGAAAACACCACAGCTGTTGTCAGCAGTATCTCTTCCAGTAGGATCCTGGTTTACCCTTGGTCTCTTGATATGGTTGATACTCACAATGTATGAGAGTGGTTTTAGATTAGGTTATGTAGAGAGTCAATAATGCTGGCACTGGAAGCCTTTAGGGATCATCTTGTGTGGCCACCTTGAATACCCAGAGCAATTGGTTTAAGGTCGTCTAGCTGTTTCGTGACAGCAATAATAATCTTGAAAATGACTGATCTACTACTTTGCATGTCTATTGTTCTTCACTATTTGGGTCTGTTACACTCACAGGATGTGGAACATGACTTTTAGTATCAGACAGTCATTATTTCAGGGAATAATAGGAACATTTTGGTATTGGAGAGAAGAGATTTACTTATTACAGCTCGTTTATTAATTGTTTTTAATAAGGCCACTGAAAACTTGGGAGATTATTATTTTTAAACTACTAAAGAACACCGATATTGGGAAGTTTATTGGTTTCTTGTGAAAGGAGAAAAATAAAAAACAAAATGGAGAAACTTTCATTGCATTATATAGAGAATAAATATAAAGGATTTTTACTTTTGAAAGTCTTGTAGTTCTTCCAACTAATTTAAAATGTGGCCTTCCAAAGTAATTTTCTTACTCGTATGCATAAAAAAATCAAATATACAACACTAATTTTTAAGGAACAGTAGAATACTATTAATCCTAACTTTTAGTTATCGACTTAAAAGAAACCTTAAGATAAATTTTAAAACATTAAGAAATGTGCCTCTGAAAAGGTTGGACATAATTCTTTCCTAATCTGGGTTCGGTCTGGGACCAGTGTGCTGTTGGGTGAGATGCCTGTAGTGTATTTTTAGGTATGGGGGAGAGTAACTGCGCTTGGAATAGAAAAGCCCTCCTGCACCGAGACTCAATGCTGGCGGCCGCCGCGGTGTACAGAGGTAAGGGGCATACTGCTCTTCCCACCTGTGCTTGTTGTCACGTTCGTCCTTTAAAACTGCCGGTGCTTTTCCCTGCACTGCTAGGCACCATCAGATTTCTTGTCCTTCCTTTCAGAACACTGACCCTGTAGCTCGGTGTCCTTTTTCCAAACAGTCTGTGCTGTTTCCTCACAGTCAGCTTCTCAGTGTTGTGGATTCATGTAAGGTGTTCTCAGAATCCTACAAGTATCCTAATAGCCATTTCTCTCTGGAGGACATGACTTCTATTGAGCAGATTTTTTTTCCTACTTGTGTGTTTTCAGATTTGACCCATTATTTGTCTTTATAGAAATGTATGGAAATGAGGATGGTTCAGTACCTGCCACATACCAGATCTATTACATGATAGGATGGAAATATCATGATTCACAGGTAACATTATTAAGACAAATCACCTTTCTTAATGGGGTTCATGTTTCCATTTATTTTTTATCATTGTTTACTTAGGGTGGGGGATTTTTTAAAAATGTAAGACAGCATTAAAGAGTGTAATTAGAACTGTGTAGTTGTCTCTGATAGCTTTTATTTTTATCATTCTTTCAGGCAAGACCAGCTGAAAGAGGTTCTGCAACTGTGTCATTTGGAGAGTTAGGGAAAATAAACAATCTCATGACACAGGGGGAAAAATCAAAATAAATATTTTACTTAATGTAGTCCAGAATTTTCATCAGAGATGGGTAACTTTCACATCTCAAACTATTACATTTTGAAGCAAGAAACAATATATAAGCTAAGTACCAACAGACTTTCCCAATAACCAGCATAACCTGATACTGTATCTCTATTTGGTAACCATTCAGTTTCACATGGTTTTTGTCTTCATATTGATACTGTTCTCTAGTCATTTGAGTGCCTCATTTACAGATTCATCCTAAAAGGATGAATAAATAAAATATTTCTCTTGAAAAATCTCCAAAAATGTTTATGTATATATACATATATATATATATAAATGCCTGACTTGGTGGAAAAACATTACTCATTACTCTGACATTTTGTACCTTTTTATCCTGATCTTGTGTTATTTCTGTGCAAAGGCCATAGTCATTGGAGATGAGGAGAAGGACAAGTTGGTAGATTCTCAGAGGTCTGGCTCATATGGAATAAAAACATAGACTTCTCTTAATAACTACTCTAGGATACTTAAGCCAAAGTTATGTCACAGTGCCATCTTTGTCAGGAAGAGAGCCTAGGGTTATGTTCTCTCCAAAGCTATTGTGTAGTTGTGTACTTTAGAAGGATGTGGATCTTTACTGAGTTCTTCATCTTTTTTTTTTAAGTATTTTCTTTCTTACCTCCATGATCTGGTAGGTCCCCCTTGGTTTTACACCCCTACTCCAGCTTACGTAAGAGGAGATTTTTAAAAATTGCAGAGGGGAAATCACACAGAAAAGTATCTGCACAGTGAATAAAAGTGCTTTTTGTTGTTTGACTTCCCTTTGTCATTTCAGGCCTTTGCCACCATGATTCTAATCATGGGTCTGCTGTCCCACTGTCATCTATTATTATCAAAATTATCTGAAAGCAGTCAGGCTCAGGTATTTTAGACTAGGGGGAAGAAAGGGAGAGAACAAGGCAGCAGGCAGGAAACTGGGAGGCACAGGGGAGCAGTGCCACCTTTCATTCCTCCAGATCTCTGCTAATGGTGCCAGTGGCTATCTCACTGGGCTGCATCTGAGCAGGTGTGTTCAACTTCATCCTCTCACTGTCAAGTGCCAGATGGTGGCTCTTGTTTAACACTGATGTTGAAATAAACCCAGCAGAAAGAAGTCTGTGTCAGTTCACATGGGATGAAGCAGAAAACCGGCCTCACCATTCATGTAAAAAAAAAAAGTATGAGTGTTGAGTTTGTGTTCACTGGTCAGTGGGAAGCTATTAGTTGTCCTTTTCACTTAATTGGGCGCCTCCCCACACTCCTCTGCAGTCTAAGGTAAATACGAGAGTGTTCGCTTGCATCTCTCTTTTGCCTGCCTTCCCTCTTTGTACCATCCAAAGTCCAAATTTTTCCTGGGTAGAGGCTGTGTCTACCCTGTACATAGCATAGTGCTCTGCACATAGTAGATACTCAATTATATTCTGAATTTAATTATGTGAAAAACGTACCCTTTGAAAGATTGAGTTATAATTAAAAACCAAAATTTGTAGTAGAAAATAAAATCACTGTTCTTGCTCTCTTCAGTTAGAGCATTCATTAATTGGTATTAGCAATTGGGGTATTCTTGGTAGCTTGTTTGTTTTATTTTTAGTGCAAAGAGAAAGAATACCTACAAAGTGGAATTGGGGAAATTTTTTTTAGCTTAATTTCCAGAATTTGAGGGGAGAAAAAACAAAACAAAAACCTGTGGATTAAAATGTGAACTGGTAACTGAGAAACAGATAAATTCCATGGTGCTTGTGTTTCCTAAAGGACACGTGTTTATATGCATTTATGTTTGTTTTTGAAGAATGCATACAAAATTATTAAGTTATTGCTAAGTAAAGGGACTGAGGATCTCTGTATCATGTTGAATGTTAGGGGTACAGTGGGTGGGCAGACAAAAGGAGGGAGTCTTCACTTTTCAATTTCTTTAATTTTTCTGTACATTTTGAAGTTTCTTACCATGGATATTTGTTTATATCATATGAACAGTGAATCTGTGGATGATGGGGTGGGCTATCAAAAATAAGTTCCACGGATTAAAAAAAACTAAAGGAAAGAAAAATTAACACAACTAATCAAGGATATATTTAAATAAAATTATTTTAGTAATGTTTTTACTAAAATTTTTATATATTTAAATAAAATTATTTTAGTTTTACTAAATTTTTTAATTATAATTAATTGTAATTGTAATTAATACCTGCTTGAACTATCAAGATTTATTTGCAACCATCAGGAAATTCATTCTTTTCAATAGCCTTGTTTTCCAAATGACCAAGAACTTGTGTGTAAGTAATGCTTTAAAAAGAGTCTTATTAAAAATATTTCCAAAGTATGTTATATTCTTCAACATAACCATTTCTTTATAACTCCACAATTTTATCATAAACTCAAATTGCTTTTTCCTATACTGACTGGCCCCCAAAATGATGTGGTTTGTCTCTCTTCCAACATTTTTTCATATTTGCTGTCAGTTGTCAGTTTCACCGGCTTGATGAAAATGAACTTTCTTGCCCTTTCTGATCTGGAAGATTATAGAGTTCAGATGGGAAGGTGTCTAGGACTAGTATGTAAGGTAGGAGAGAGGAATGAAGTTCTGGGAGAAGGACCCCCATTTGCAGTAAAATGCACGGGCTTCGTTGGCTCCCTTAATCCTCAGTGAGGTCCCTGGGCTGGGCTTCCAGGTCTTTGCTCCTTCAGTCAGTCTGTCAGGGGACACGGGGACATCTGGTGGCATTTTTGTAATATTTCCTGGTTCTTAGCAGTTTCCAGGTTGTTGGCCTAGAGAATTCCAGAGGTAGCAGTATGTGTGACAATTCATATTTATAAAACAGATTGTTTGCTTTGTAGAAAGAATTTCTGTAGGATTTGTTAAAATGGAAGCTATGGGTAGACATCAGGTATGTGATGATTGTAAAAAGTTACATTTACAGGGGTGTGTGTGTAGCTCCTGAAGTTATCTAGGAAGCAAATTTTGTTTTTCAAGCCCTTAAATTCCATTTTTATCCACTAGGTGGAAAAAGTTACAATATGGCCTGTATTGAAGACATATACAATTTCTATACTGTGTATATGTCCCTTAAGTAAGGATGGAATCAAAGAGTTTACCATGGACTGGCTTCTGTGTGGGAAACAAATGAATATTGATAGGTCTTTGGGAAACAGAGGGATACTTGGCACAGTGATGATTATTTTACTCCTGCATAAGTTATGTTAGCCTCTCTTGCCTAAGATGAAATGTTTTTAAGTTTTTTTGTGGGGACTGCGGGCTGTTTTATTTTTCTGTAGTTAATGTGAGCTCTATCTTAAAAGAACTTACCACAGGTGGGCCGCCCTTTCAGAAATTGCTGTACTTTAATTCTCTGCCTGGATACTCAACAGATATTTATCTTTTGGGTTTACAAAATTTAATTGGAAAAAATGGAAGGTACAGTGGGCCCTGGTAGGCTGTCATTAACAAATAAGGAAATAATGCTTTGTTTTCTGGTAGTTTTAAATCTATCCACAGTTTTTTTTGATATGTTTCTCTCTAAGAAGTGGAGCTTCATTCCCCTTCCTTTGAGTATGGGCTGACTTTATTGATTCCCTTCCAACAAATGGAATACGGATACGGTGGTGTGGCCCTGCTGAGAGAAGGTGACAAAAGGCATTGCTCACCTTGCTGTCTGGGGCCTCTCACTGTGGGAAAGCCAGCTGTCATGTCGTGAGGGCATGCAAGCAGCACAGTAGAGAGGACACGGAGGTGAAGGACCGCCAGCACCTGAGTGAGCCATCCTGGAAGCTGATTGGCTTCAACCCCAAGCAACTTTCAGATGACTGCAGTTTTGGCTGATACCTGGACGGCAGCCTCATGAGAGACCTTGAGCCAGAACCACCCAGATAAGCCACTCCTAGATTTTTTTAACTAATACCTACTTGAAGTATCTATCAAGCTTTAATTGTTTGCAACCATTTATGAGCCACAGACTGAGATAATAAATGTTTGTATAAGCCACTGTGTATGGAGTAATTTGTTGACACAGCAGCAGGTAACTAATACACTCTGGGGAAAGCCTGGGTGCCCAAGTCCCCACCCATACCCCAATGTAGTCACTGTCCATCAGTGCAGCAAGATGCCACAGATCACTATGTGCCTTCTCTGTATGCCATGTTGTTACTTTGAGTGTAGAGTGCAGCCTGCTTATTCGAAATGGTGTGACCTCAACATAAACTACTTAACTGCATTTGTTCTCAGGGAAAATAACCTTACTTTGAGGTCTGAGTCCATGGTATCTTAAAATAGAATTAACCTCCCAAGGTATCTTTTGTAGTCCTCAAATTTCATTTCCTAGGAGTATGAGGATCAATTTTCTGGAAGCCTGACTGAGGTTAGTTCAAAATGAAACCAGAGAATTGGAGAAGTCTCTGACCTTGAAAGTTCAGTGAGCTGAACAACTGTATGGTTTCCTCGATCAGTTCCCTTCAGTCTTTTTTTTTTTTTATTAAGGTATGATTTATATACACTCTTACAAAGGTTTCACATGAAAAAACAATGTGGTTACTACATTTACCCGTATTATCAAGTCCCCACTCATATCCCAATGCAGTCACTGTCCATCAGTGCAGCAAGATGCTACAGATCCACTATGTGCCTTCTCTGTGCTACACTGTTCTCCCTGTGATCCCCCACACCATGTGTACTAAGCATAATACCCCTCAATCCCCTTCTCCCTCCCTCCCCACTCACCCTCCCACACCCCTCCCCTTTGGTAACCACTAATTCATTCTTGGAGTCTCTGAGTCTGCTGCCATTTTGTTCCTTCAGTTTTGCTTCATGGTTATACTCCACAAATTATTTCCTTCAGTCTTAACTGTTGAACTGCTGATAGCTTGTTATCAGGATGGACTGTTGACTTTGCATGCTTGTTACCAGGCTCTCCGATGAGCATAATGCTGTGGAAATAGCTGTGCTTTTTAAAAGCATTGATCTGTCTTGCTAGCCACTGCTAAAACCAGGCCAAGGCAAACTGCCTGCACCCTCAAAGCAGCACATGTAGTCTGGGCAGCGTCCGCATTCATACAAGAACCCCATGCCTGTGCACAAGATGCCTGTAGCTACTTCTTTCAGAGCCAGCCCTGCAGAAGGATGATCACGTGCAGTTCCAGGTCTGAATGTTAGAGGAATCTGTGCTTAGGTTGGGAATGGGAGATTATGGGAGGATGATTTCACAAAGAGGAATTGCCAGTCCTTGGCAAAACCAGTAGAGGGAAGGTTAGGGACTAGGAGCCAGGTAGTCTGGGTCTTGTCCTAGCCCTGCTGGTGTTAGGAACACCCAAGCAAACTCCATCTCTCTAACTTAAGGATTTCATCTGTCAAATTGCAGGTTTGGTACTCAGGGAGTCTCAAGGAGGTTACAGGCCTGCCTTCCAAGTTCCTGAGGGTCTTTTTCAGAGAAAACACATTGCCACCTTCCTCCAGTTGGTTGAAGATCATAGTCACAGGGTGGCCCTGACACTGAGGGGAGAACAGGGCATTGCTTCGTCATGCTATGGTGGGAGAAGGGCTGTGAGCCCTCGGGCAGGGTGACCTCAGGAGCATTCGGCTTGATACTATGACCTGGGTCCCAGCCTAGAAGTGAGCAAGACTGCCCTGCCATCCTGACACTTCCTCAAGACTCCATGTTGATGTTTGCACACTTATTTTCCCTTGAAAGTTAACCTGGATTGCATCAGTTTAATAAGAAGGCTCACAGAGTGTGACTTGCCTTGGGTCCCCTAGTCTTTAAAGTGGTCCAGAATGCATTACTGCTGCTAGTTCCTGGACTACAGAAGAGGGCCCAATATGTGACTTCAGTCTTACATGTGACAAAGCGATGGTCATTCAGTTTTATTATGCTGCTTGCTTTGTGGGGTCAAAGCCTTCCTCACTTTCATTCCATGACCCCACCTCCTGTCACAACTGCTGTACTCCCCAGCCAGCCTATTGGGGCCGGGCAGATGATCCCACCCACTGTCTCTAACACATGCTCATCCTTGTGCTTGAATCTGACCCTGTGGAGCTACCTGCCCCCCAAACTCTTCTGGGTCCCTAACATTCTAAGCATCATCTGTTAAATCCAGCTCAAATACATCTTGCTCTCCTGCCCCAGGCCATCTCGAACTTCTTTTGGCTCCTTTAACACTTTGTACATTGCTTCCTGTCTGTGAGTTCTGCCTGGTTAGCATCTTGAGTATTGGCACTGCTATAACTAGGGCTCCATCAGCTGCAGGGGAGGCCCAGAGGGAGTCACTGCCAGGCAGACGGGGGGATTCCTATGAGCACAGCAAACAGCAGGAGGCTGGGAAGACAGGCAGCTGGCATTGGGCACAGTCATCTACAAACTCCAAAGATCAGTCACTCGGTTGTTGTGTTTCAAGGCTAGACTCCTATTCCAGTGGAATCTGGGTATCAAGCGAAGAAGCTGGACATGGATAATAGGAAGCAGAACACAGTTGCTGGGACTGGGAAACAGAGAAGGGCTTTGTCCCAGAGAAAAGGACTAAAACCGTGACGTGAGGGCAAAGCAGGGCCTGCAGCAGAGCAACTGGGCATCACACTGTGTGAAACAGTGGGTCTCAAGTCCAGGCAAGATATCCCACTGTCATTAGATACTGAGATGACCCAGTAGACTGATGAGCATGACTTGTGAAATCAAACCTGCTCATTGAAGCCTTTTCCGTTACCAACTAGCAACTAAATTACTCAACTGTGAAATGAGCCATTCTTAGAAGCCTTAATGCAACGGCTAGCAGAGAATAGGTGTTGCACTTATTTTTTCTTAGGCTTAAGAAGTGAAGCTCCTAAGATGCCTTACACGTCTGGTGCAATAGCTCTTAAATTATAGAATGTTGATTGGTGTTACAGGTGAAGCAGGGGGAAGGGAAGAGTTTACAGAGCTAAATATGGTTGGAAAACCTGGGTCAAACAAAATTAAACTGATATCTTTCCTGTAAGTCTTCCCAGATCTTTAATAGCCTCATTCTGTGACTCTGTGAGGAGCCTGTATTTTATGGCATTTTCCAGCAATCCTTTCATTAAACTGCATCTTGTAAGCCCTTGAACCTATTTTGGGAAACATTAGCCTAATACAATGCTAGACATTGTAGGAGCTTGTTAAATAATATGAATAGTTGTGGGAAAACCTACATTCAGTTATCAGAATTTATTCACCAGCAAAATTATGAACTTTCTCAAGGCAGTCCTTGCAGTGGTTAAGAGCATGGACTCTGGACCTGGTTGTCCTGTCTTTGTCACCTGGAACAAATTACATGACCCCAGCTTTCTTTTCTGTAAAAGAAGAAAGATACTTTTACAGTATCCCCCTGGGAAGGTAGTTACAAAGATCAAATGAGTGAATAACATATTTGGTTAGAACAGTGCCTGGCACATAATAAGCATGGGATGTTACCTCTTATGAATCTAGACAAAGTGAATTATAGAGATGCTTTCAAGAATAAATCACTGACTCCTATAATGTGCTAGCTTACCATTTTTCCTACATAAAATTTCCTCTTGCTAACACAAAACTGATTAATAAACAGATACTGCTTAAGGTTGCTGTCCCTTTTTAAAAAAGAATAAACCACATGACCTCAGACAGCTCTTTTGCCTTTGGCAAAGTCCAAATAGTTCTCATATATAAGAGATTTGTTCTTTTTTTTTAAAGACACTTGTCATCACCTAGACATTATTTTCTGATTAATGAAATACAAGTTAGGATAACTCATTTCACACAAGCACACCACAAAATTTTTCTGTATCAAAACACAGACACCAATGCTGGATGAAATTAATTGGGTGGCAAAAAGTAAAAGGACTGAGAATTAAATCTTGCAGCCTAAAAAATAATTCTGTTCTTACCACATGAAAATATTTTAAAGCATTTTTCTGTAATAGACCTTAATTTTTTTACCTGAGAGGCTGGATTTGAATTTTAAAACTTTTGAGCTATAAGACATCAGTGACATTTTGTTTTGCAGTTGAAGAAACTGAGTCCCGCACAGGGACTGGTTTGCTTGAGGTCACTAGCTGGTCACAGAGAGACAGTCCTGAAAGGCAGGCATTCCAGTTTTGTCCGGCCACCTAAGGCAGGCTTATGTCATTCATTTGAGCACAGCAGAGCTAAGGCCCAGCTACACCACACACAGGAGGCAGAGCTGTGAAAGGTGTGGCAAGTGAACCCTGTCCAAGTCCCTAGCCAGCCTTCCATTCCACAGCCATGGGTGTTGAGTGCCAATCCTAGAGTCACCCCTACGTTGAATTTTTCAGAGCAAAGTTCTGGGTTGCAGGTTACTGTAAACCTCAGCCTGGGCTGCACTCTGTGAACTAAAAAAATACCACTGTTTTCCTCCCACCCCCAGAAAGCCTGGGTTAAGCTGGCATCAGGATTTTAAAATCTCTATAATCTTCTGCAGAGCCAGTTTTTCTGCAGAGAGAAAATGTATATGAATCACAGACAGGCCCCATGTTAACCTACCTTCTGTCACAGTCGGAAATTTTGGAGGACTTCTGCTGCTGTGTTGGTTATGAAAATGTACAGTTCACTGTGCATCCAGAGAGGGTGTGTCTGACTGGGCTGGGGGTGAAGAAAGGTGTGTGTGGACAGGTCATCATTCAGTACTTTTTGAGCACCTACGATATCTGATGCACTGGATACCTAGGGATGAGAGGACATAATCACTGCTCTCATAGAGAGCAGTGGGCTGAAGAGACCACAGTGAAGCTGATATTATGCAACCCTAAGTACTTTGATTCAGATGCTTATGTGAAGGCACCCTTATGCAATACTGCATGGTGGTCCTCAGATAGTCAGGAGGGGCCCGCCTTCATTTCAGTGGTGTAGGCTAACAGTCACTCCATGCAGCTCAAGGCAGAATCTGTGAAATCCCAGATAGAGGTCTGACCAAAGCGCCTTGGGAATTCAAGGAGAGGAGGTCAAGCAGTCTGTGTGTGGTGCTACCTATCTACAGAATAAA